TTAGTGCGCAGTGAGGCTGATGCGGCAGCTCTTGCTTATATTTTATTAAAATACTATTTTTTAAATGACTGTTTTTCAAAACAGTTTTTTTTTAAATCAATAAATAACCCTGAAAGCATGACGGGAGATTTTGACCAAAGTCAACTGGAACGACGTGCGCCCTCACGCACACACGCGCGCGCTCACGCTGCGCCTTGGAGGTGCTCGCGCGGACCGACACGCTGGGGAAATCGCCTGGAACTGCATTATAAGCCTGACGTCCTTAAAACCAAACAATGGCACCATGAAATAAGGGCTTACACGGGCTCAAAGTCGAAGAGCCCCCTCAGCTACACGCTCCGTGTTTATCTCTGCCTCTGTCCGACACACTCACCGCTTCTTACAGGGGGGGTTAGGTCCGTTGGGAGGCGGGGAGGGAGGCTAACTTTGCTCCTATGAACTCTCACCTGTCAACACGGAGCAGAGGACTTTACTTGGTAAACATGAAAGGACTTTAGCTGTTTACTTCTGGCGGTGACTTCGCCTGGTTTTTAGGAGCTGCAAGGCCGCGGTCACACAGTCAAACCTCCCCCTCTCCCTCCTCATCCAGCCGCCCCCCCAACCAGCTCCTGCAATGCATTAATGTAATAAACGCACTTCCCCACCCACCAACATGTGCAGAAAATCATTCGACTCCATTGGGCAAACATTTAAGCTGTGTTGGTTAAAAGACATTTATTTTTAGATTTGGAACTGGCCTCCATAAATATGATCATAACTTCCTGTAGCAACTCCAGTTTTTTTTGGTTCCTTACTTTAGTTTTTTTTTCTTGACTTTTGAATACAAACACACTTTTTAAAATTTGCTTAATTCGTATTGTACATCGTGATAATGAAATCTCGATGACGGAGGGTCGGAAAAAACAATATGAACTCTGTTTTAGTAAATTTCTGGCGGCCAATGACTGAATGAGTGAAATGAGTGTGCTCTTAGTCAAATATCCCAGGAATGGATTTCAATGAAACTCTCACAAAGTAGTCACTGCGTACATCTTTAAAGGGCCAATAYTATGTGTTTCTTAGGCATGTATTTAAATACTATAGCATAATAAAGTATCTATGTCACCTTTAGCTGTTATTAAAATGCTGTTTTTGTGTTTAAATAGAAAATAAACTTATCTTCTCATCACTTCCTCTTCTAAAGGCCTTGAAATTGGCCTCTGTCTCTTTAA